ATATATATATATATATAGGTTAAGACATGTGAAAATAATGTTGTATTGATTTTTTTTTTTAATAGTTGATCTTTAGTTACAGCTGAATATCTAAACAAACGTAAAATACCACAGACCTGACGTATTTTGTGGACATTAAATACATATTTATTTTAATATTTATGCAAACATTACAACGTTTAAATGCAATATCAAATATATGATCAAAATCTAGTTAGTCAAGATAATGTATCTCAAGAAGGCTACTTTGGCACTGTTGATGAAGTAACGCTGTGTTGTATGTCACAGGTTCATACATTTCATTTTCGGTTTCACAGACAAGAAGTAGTATTTCATACAGAAACTCAGACGCTGCCATTCAGTGTAAGTTATGACAATGTTGAGCAGTAAATCCAACGAGGAGATCAAACGGATGCTGGATGATTACGGAATAAAACACGGTCCAGTGGTCGGTAAGTTCAATTCTTGATTTAAAACAGTCACTATGTGAATGGGATTGTTGCAGCCTTACTGAGATACTATTATAATTTTCATAAAATACTTAGAATTAGTTTTTATTTTTGTATTTTCCGTTTTAATATTTTTGTTGTTTTTGTCATTTTTATTCATTTTTTTTATTGTTATATAGTTGCCTATATAGGTTTTACTCATTTTAATTTTAGATTTAGCTGTTTAGTACATTTAGTACACAAGTTAAAATAAGTATTGCTTTGGTAACTAGCTAAAATGTTGAAATACTTTATTTTAGTTCATGTTTATTTTATTTCAAGTAACATTTTTTTTATAGTTTAAGTTTTAGCTTTAGTTAACTATAATAGCCCTGGATTGTTGCTTTCCTTCTTCTTTTTTCTTCAGGGTGTCTTTTTATGGTCTTGCATGTGATTTGTGTATATTCATTTCACCAGATTCCACCAGAGCCCTTTATGAGAAGAAGCTGAGAGAAGCCATGTCTAAACACAGAAGAACCCAAGTTCAATCCGACAGGACATATTACAGGGAAGAGGGTAATGCTTACATGACGATCAACACAAAACACGAGTATCTGTCACAAATCACACCAATGATCTGAGTTGGTTACACCTTTGCTTTACAGAGGACGTCACCTATGTTCAGCATCACAGACCTGTGAGTACTAACAACACTTATTAAAACTAGTTTCAGACTTGTTTATATGCTGACTAATGATTCATTTGTGTTGATCTAGCAACTATATGATGATGTGAGCAACAGGTGAGTCAGCCTGAATATTTGAGCAGTTATGGTAAAACAGTGAAACTAACAAGCTTTTTTTGGTTTATTAGAACGTGGTCTGATTATAGAGGGATGGACTACACAGATGAGTATGATGGCTTTTTTTGTATACAATTATACTGAAAGTGTGTCACAGTTAGGGGAATTATTCTTATTAAATGTATACATTTTTTTTGAAGGCCTGCTATATATAGGACTCAAGCTCCTTACCAGAATATGTCACAAGCAAGAAACCTACCGCCAGAGCCTCATATCCAGAAAACACCTGAGAAGACGCGCCTGGTCCCAGTCTGGCTACAGATATTAGTGTTTCTGATCGTATCTGGTCTTCTGTACTTGGTTTATATAAATACGGAATCAGCAGAGCCTGAGAAAAGACTGACGTAGCTCTTCCTTTAGTGATTAAACTGAATGTTACAATTCTAAAACAAGCAAATATTCAGCACAATAGATGTGATTTTTAACATATTGCAGTGCATTTTAACTTTCTAAATCTTGGTTATTTTGTGTGTGATGTTTTATCAAAGTAATAGCCCAACACTGTAACTCTTTTGTGAATATGAAGGAAGTGGGTGTTACAGGATGCACCTGTTGAAAGATTATTTTTAAGATTTTGTTTGTTGGTCGTAATTTCTTGGGCTCATAAAAGTTTGATATATTACAACTTCTACTACTACTAGAAAACGTTAAAGCCTTTTTGTATGAATTATATAAGCATATTTTAAAGGTTACAGTTACTGAATTTGGTGTTCATCATTTTACAGTAGGTAATGGTTTTTCCATTTGTCTGGAAGCGTCACTCTTGGATTTGGGTCATCCTCTGAATTATATGTACAGGTGCATCTCAATAAATTAGAATGTCGTGGAAAA